CTGGAAAGGCAGCAGGGAGTACTGGACAGCCAGTGGTTTCATCCTAGTTTGGGACTCTTCATCAGCACACACTGGTGATCAAATTGCGGGGTGAAGATAAATACCTGTCAATGAGATTGGTTGGTAGTCACGCAATATATTGCGACATCTCAGAAATCACTGCAAGACTCTTCAAACCTTTAGTAATTGACGTCACACACAAACCAAAAAAAATCACTTCACTCAGCTCTCTATGTCAACCAAAAGACTCAACAACGAAAAAAGATAAAACCGACATCGTCTATAAAATAAGTAGCAATGACTGTGAAAAACACTACATTGGCCAAAGTGGACGTCCCTTTCGCCTTCGTATCCGGGAAAATAAACTAGCCGTCAAAAGACATGACATCCACTCCCTAGCTCATATCACTACATACAGACAACCACGGACATCATTTCGACTGGGACAGTGTTCAAATATTAGACAGAGGAAACACCAAGAATGCTAGAGAATTTTTAGAAGCCTGCCTGGTATTCCAGTGAATCATCAATCAATAGACACATCGAGATAGACAAAATTTACCAATCGATAAGAAGGAAATCTCTTACACACACACAAAGGGTCAAGGTTCAAGTCAGGGAAACAATCAGCTCTGATACAAGTAGTCTAGAAGGTGTGAAAACACACGAAAACAACCAGTCACGACATCCAAGGTCACCCACCAGGAGAGATGACTAATAAACTCGTGGAGAAATCTAAAAGCTCACTTCAGTTCAAATTGAAGTATGCGCTGAAGATTGTCGCCTAGTAGGGAAATGAAAGCTTCGCAAATTAACTATGCAGCTCAGAGAAAACAATCACATAAGAATATTGCGAATTGGATTTCACCCCAATGCCTAAGTGGTTCACGAGCTCACCTTTTGGCATGAAGGTCCTGAGTTCATCCTACAGCTATGGCGTTATCAGTGAGTGCTGCTGACAAGTTAAGGACAAAAAGGAAACAATTGTCGAGTTCTCCCTGGTCTTCAATGATTCTCTAACTGAAGTCAGTCTGTCATCAGTCTGAAGACGTATGAAATTTTCACGTATATATACAGAGAAATTTTTCTAATGTCTTGAGTCGATCCTTTAGCTATGGAGTTACCGGTGCACTGATCAAGGCACCGTACTCGAACTCATGCAGCCAGTTAGGTAAGAGCTTACGGCGAGCTGTTATCTGAAGTGGTGACAACCAGTGGTGTCCATCAGGGATGCCCACTATCCTTATTTCTATGCACTTTCATCATAGATGTACTAATGAAATTAACCCCGATTCACTTCAGAGACTCAGAGATTGACTTGTTACCACGGGATAGATAATCTCATTGACTTAAAATATGCAGAGGATATAGTCCTTCGAGATGAAGACGCTGACAAAATGCAGTCTTCTGAACACCTTGAACTGCAATCTTCGAATGCTTGTCATGCGATTCGCTACCCTATTCAAATGTAAGATGATGCTACAGGACTGGACTGCACTGACTGTTGGCTTAGAGATAGGGAGTGAATTGGTTGGTGGAGCGTGTTGACCACTTCACTTATTTGGGAAGTTGCATCAGTAAGCGCCAACGGTTTGATCGCTGACAAAATCTCAGCACGGATACAGAAGGCTCGTTTCTTATTGGCCGGTGTACGGCGTCTCTCTCTCTCTGTCGCGTAGACGTGATATCCGGGTGGCTGTCGACGACCGACAGGCTGTTTTTGACTATGGGTGACTGAGTTCTATCTGCCGTGTAAAGTGATATAATATGGTGAGCAATATTGAGGTTAGGCATCGGTCGAGTGTTAGGTAAGGGGAGAGGGGAAATCAATTGACAAGGCTGTGAAATTACATCGACTGAGATGGTTAGGACATGTGTTACGCATGCATGCCTAGCCATCGCCTTCCTCAATATCGGGTAATGTTAGCTGATATGGGTCCAGGTTGGAAAAGACTGAGTGGTAGTGGTCAAATCAAGACATGGCTTCAACAGTCAATGAAATCCAAAACAGTTAGTTTAAGCCAGTCATGTAGGAAAGTGTAGACTTCCTGTCTAGTTGGGGTCCTCAGGACGGTAAAAGCCAATGGTTGGAGACAGTCGGTGATATGGCTCAAAATCGTTTTCAAAGGCTAGTGCAGATGCATTCACTCCTTGTGACTTAGAATAAGACTATATTGTTCTTACATATTACTACACTTTTTGCCTCATGTCTCTGTTTACTATCTCTGTTTTGCATTTCTTTTTGTTTTATTCTCTTGCTTTGTGTGCTAAGTGAAGTGTGGCGACCCAAAGTGCTGCTGCACATATCGGTTCAAGGTTCTATGTTGAAACCATCCAGTCATTCAGTATCTGTGCGTGTTACTGACGAGTTAAAGACAGAAAGGAAACAATTGTTGAGTTCTCCCTGGTTTTCAATGATTCTCTAACTGAAGTCAGTCTGTGATCCGTCTGAAGATGTATACAATTTTCAGGCATATATACACAGAAATTTTATTGCTTTGCGTCGGTCGCACAGTGGTTAGGACTCTCGACAACCGTCCATATGGTCGGGGTTCGACCCCCTACCGACGCACACCTGATATCAATGGTCGTTTTGCAAAATTTGGGCTACCTATATCGCATGCTGAGAATTCCATACTTGTACCGAAAATACGGTGTGTAATCAAGCTGTAATAAAAAAAGTAGATGACTGCAAAAATAACAAACAAAATATGCTCAAAAGTTACACTTATACATGTAAGATTCAAGTTAATTGAAGCTGGTCTGGATACTTTGACAAATAAACAAGTTAGTTATGTAATAAAATCATGAGTTAGACAATCTGGTAACGCATGATTTATAAAGTTGATTAGTCTTACTTATTTGATGAGTTCAACTAATATAATAGAAAATGAAGTCAAATGTTTCCATGAAGAGACTCTTCTAAGTGAATTTTTTATCACACTGTACAACAGTATACACCTGTATGATTTCTTTTGTTAATAATGTTAATTCAGAACAATACATTTAAGAGAACCAGAACTCACTGCAGCACTCCCACCTTAATAAAAGTTGAAGAAAAATATCTCATGGACGTCTTCCAAAAGAATGGATATCCACGGAATTTCATCAAAAGACATATACCCCAAACCAAACTATCAAACCAAAAGCCGCCAAGGAAAGCACAAAGAAAATCGCTTTACCATATATAAAGGACATTTCAGAAATCACTGCAAGACTCTTCAAACCTTTAGGAATTGACGTCGTACAAAAACCAAAAGAATCACTACACTCAGTTCTCTATGTCAACCAAAAGACTCAACAACGAAAGAAGATAAAACCGACATCGTCTACAAAATAAGTTGCAATGACTGCGAAAAACACTACATTGGCCAAAGTGGACGTCTCTTTCGTCTTCGTATCCATGATCATAA